CTCCTATCTCTATGTCATGTATCTACCAACGCAAGAGACACAGATATCTATAATGCATGTGTATATGGAATATGAAATAGACAAACAGGCAATTTGTAAGTACTAACACCTACAGATCTAATTATCTAGATTTGCTGTGTATAAATCAAATTCATATCAATTTATATTTAAACATATTTAGAATGAGGAGTGGGCACAAATGCTTGGCAGGCTTAAAACCAATGTTGGGACGTGTGGCGTATTAAAGATCAATATTGACTGTTCATTGGCAGAAGTTTTGCTGCAGCGTGAAAGCAAAAAAAAAAAAAATCTGTTTATGGAAGAAGAATAAGGCAATAATAATGGCATAAGACAAAGGAGGTTTCCCTGATATATTAGCCTTGGGAGACTGTGGCTAAATTAGATTAATCTTTAACCCTATCAAGCAAAGTGTTTGTTCTTCTGTTTTATTCTTTGGGATAGTGTGATTGCCTGCATGGAAAAATGGCACAACACAACTAGTCCTTGACAATGTAGCCCAAAATTTCTGTTGCTAAGCAAGACAGTTTTTTAATTCATATGGCAGGAGTTATAGTGGTGCAGTGATTAGAATGCAGGATTGCAGGCTAATTCTGCCTACTTCCAGGAGTTTGATCCTGACTGGTTCAAGGTTGACTCAGCCTTCCATCTTTCTGAGGTGGGTAAAATGAGTGTCCAGGTTGTTGGGGGCAAGAGGTTGACTCTGTAAACCTCTCAGAGAGGGTTGTACAGCTTTGTGAAGCGGTATATAAATCTAACTGTTGTCCTTCCTTCCTTCCTTCCTTCCTTCCTTCCTTCCTTCCTTCCTTCCTTCCTTCCTTCCTTCCTTCCTTCCTTCCTTCCTTCCTTCCATGGTGCACAGTGGTAGGAATGCAGTATTGCAGGCAGACTCTGCCCACTGTCAGCAGTTCGATCCTGACCCGCTCAAGGTTGACTCAGCCTTCTGTCCTTCCGAGGTGGGTAAAACAAGGACCCAAATTGTTGGGGGCAACATGCTGACTCTGTAAACTGCTTTAGAGAGGGCTGTAAAAGCACTATGAAATGGTATATAAGTCTACTTGCTATTACTATTAAAACAGTGGAAGGAAGTTTCCATGTACAAATCCAAGAAATTCAGGGAGCTTTGAGCCAAGTGTCAGCCTGAATTTGAAAGGTCGTGTTTCTGAGATCAGATGTATTATGGTGCAGGTGAAGATTGAAAAATGTGAGTCAAAAGAAGGAGTCCGACTTAACCTTTTGATTCCATCAACAACCCTGTTGGGTAAGAATATGGCAAGTCGAAGCCTTCCAAACATGCAGTCAAATACTTTCAACTGTTTACACCGAGAACATGGTTTCTTGTGTATGTTTGTGAAGGGTGATCCAATAAATATGTCAATAGGGTCATCTCCCTGGCAGTGAGAATCTTGTTTACAAGACTGGTTCATTAGGAGCAGAATGTCTAGGGAGATTTTGTCATACAGGACATGGTTGTCCCAAATATGCTTTTTTTTTTCCAAGAGGCAACTGGGCTTTCTTGGTTTTCTTGGAAAGGAATACCAGAAAGTCCAGTTGTCTCTTGAAAAAGCACTTTTGGGATGACCAGGAGCAGAAATTCTCTTCCATTTTAGACGTGTGTGTGTATCTGTTCCAAGATTTTGTCATGCCCCTGTCAGAATCTGACTCGGAGGAGTGTGGCTCCATTGGCTGTGGAAGAAACTGGGGAAGGGCAAAGTCTGGCTAGGCAGAGCAAGGGAGAGGTAGAACAAGGGAGAGGGAATTCAGATGAAGACCAGGCCCACCTCCTCTTCATCCTAGGGCACGCAGGAAGGAATGGAGAAGGGAGCAATGTGGGTTGCATGGCTTATGGGGGAGGAAAGGGCCCTGATTCCTTTCATTAGCTGCAGCTGGGAAGACAGTGTATAAAAAAGGCAAGCTGCATGCAACAAGCTGTTGGGAGCAAACGTGAATTTAACTCGCATCGTCATGGCTTATCTCTGTTCCTGGGATCTTCCCAACTGTGTGAGTTTTGCAGTGCTTTCAAGTCTGAAATCCCTGCTCCTGCCAAAGTAATTACTTCATTTTGGCTTGTTTGGATTTTAAGTTACAGTTTGTGTGTTCCTTGTTTTGGACTGAATTTTCTGTAGTTAAAGGCTTTTCCAGCTGCAGATAACCTGGATATTGGGGAAAAAGTTGAAGATAACAAAAGGGACTCTTATTGCTTATCTCACTGTGTTGCCTTTGTGCCATGCCCTGGGTCATCACAGATGTTTAGTAGATGCAGGTGTGGGATTCAGCCAGTTTGGACCAGTTCATGTGAGTTAGTAATTCCAGCCATTAATTGGCTCCACACACCCACCCCTGTAGTAGTCTGTCTTATATTTCTGTGTTTTGCAACCCATTTGATTCACATGGCACAGTGGATTCCCACGCCTCAGCTATTTTACTCCCCGGGGGCTGCAGCAGAAGGTAAATTTTGTAGCTGAAAATGGGTGATTGTCAAGTGCCCCACGTGCTCACCCAACTGGTTATTACACCGGTTGAATCCAACCACTGAGTAGATGGGCATCCCACTAAGGCAATGATATATCAGATTTAGTTGAGACTGGGACTTCCCGGGAAGAAATGATGAACTGAACAACGGTGGCCGAATGAAGATCCAGCGAGTAGAGCTTGTTCCTCTCCAGACAAGGAGAAGGCCTGAGATCACCCACAAGGGCTCTGGATGCTTGCTCTTCACAAGGAGACTGCAAGGCAGCCATTTCCAGAAGGTTTAGAGCTCTGAGAATTAAAGAAGCAGCCATCTTGCTCAAAGCACTTTATGGACACTGAGTTCGGCTACTTCCTTTTCTAATCACTTCCAGGAATTGCTTCCAAATTGCTTTTTAACCCTAAGGAATCTTTGAATCGACAGATTTCCCAGCACCAAGTGGCTTTCCTTCAATTTTTAGTGAGATTGAAGGAAAAATATTTTAAATACAGGGTTTTTGTCTGTGTGGTTTGTTTGTGTGTGTGTGTGTGTGTGTGTGTGTGTGTGTGTGTGTGTGTGTAATAAATAGCAAAAGGGAGATTAAAGTGTTAATTTTGGAAACTTACAAAAAGACCAAGGGTCCAAAGTTAACATTTTGAAGATTTTTGTGAGAAGGGACAAAGAAAAAAAAATGAAGTTAAATATTAGGACATTATTTGAAAGGATTAAAGATCAAGATTGTTAAAAGTAAAAGGAAGGAAGATAATGTTAATTTATTTGTTAAAAGATTAATATGGATACGTTATCTCTGGTAACTCTTAATGAACTTTTGATCAGGACTGACATAATGAGACTTTAAGGATTTGCTTATAGATAAGAGATGAGATTTGGGGAAAAGAATCCATTTGTTGTATTTTAAGGATAGATGATAAATGACTAAAATTTGTTACACTTCTGAGGAAGGAAAGTCATTCCTTTATATAATTCTTCTTTTTACTATATTTCTATATTTTCTATTTTTATTTCTATTATTTTCTTTTCCACACTTTTGTTTTATTCTTTTCTTTTTTTAAGTTTGCCTTAGGTGTCTTTATATATATAAAGATGAGTTGAGGCTAGCTTAGTTCTGATTCACATGTAAGAAAGATGGAACTTAATGGCAATTTTGTCATTATACTTACCCATTTCTGAGATAATTTTCCTCATAAAACTCTGTTACAGTTTAATTTCATACCCAGTACGAAGCCTCTAACGAACAAATGGAAATAATGTCTCGTATCCATGGTAACAAATGAGATTTTCTTTACCTGATCTTAAGATGGAATTGAATTCTAAAACTATGACATTTTAGTACCGAAGGAAGCCTTCGTCACTTATAATCCCCCGGCTTTTAAAAACAGACAGATAACACAGTGCACAGAAAGTAACTCCTCGCTTCGAAGGAGTGTTTTGTTTCGGGAGGCCTTTTAAATTTAGCTTGTGATCACCGTTCTCTGTCCAGGATAACTGTTTATCCTGCTTTTTTTGTGGGAGGGGGGGAGAGAACCAAAATGAAAATGTCCTATTCTCTGTACAAAAGCCATTTTCTTCAGCAACAAAGACGAATTCCCGTGTCTGCAATGCAGGTTGGTTTTGTTACTATTTGCAAAAGAAAATTTTGCAAAGAGCAAGATTGATACGGGGGAAATAATGAGTTTTCCTAGTTCGGACTGGTTCCGCCTCATTTTCATTACGATATCCTACAAAGTGTTGGGTGGCTAGGCCGGTCAACCTCTCAACAGGGTTGAGGGGGGGAAAGGAAGAGGAATGAACATGAGGTATGTTCATCATCTTGAATTTATAAAATAAAAATTAAAAATAAATTAAAAAAAATAAGCGAGGCAGGATATAAATCAATCAACCTTCCAAATAATAAGCAGCTGCTCGTGCAAGTCATTTCAGATTGATCGTCCTTGGTGGAACGGAACTCAGCCTTCCTACCTGTCACTTTACAATTGATTGCAGCAGGGATGGGATTAACCGGTTCGCAACCGGTTCGCTGCCCGGTTGCTGGGTGGGCATGGCGATGGAGGGCCTACCAGAACTTCTGGGAGAGTCCATTTCCAGACTTCCAGAATTTCTGGTTTGGCCATTTTTCGCCTTCCCCGGAGTCCGGAGGCTTCTCTTGGTCCTCTGGAATGGTGAAAATGGTCTCCCTCGGGCACTGGGGGGCCTCCAGAAGCTCAAAACAGGCCCGTTTCCAGACGTCCAAAACTTCTGGTTCAGCCCATTTTTCACCCTCCCAGACTCTACGCGCAGACCCTGGGAGGGGAGGGGCAGGATGGGTGGGGCCCGCTGGTGGTTTCAACTACCAGTTTGGTGAACCGGATGTAAATTTAACATCCGGTTCCCCCAAACCTGTCCAAACCGGTAGAACCCCTCCCCCTGGATTGCACCCAACCTGGAGATGTTTCCCCGTTCCCAAGAACACTAGCAACTTAACTTCCCACCGGATAAGATCGGAACCAGGTTCATACGTTTTAGGCGGATGTACCTGTTGCATGCCTTGGACTGTTTGCTGCAAAAACTGTAGTTGCTGGTCTTTTGTCAAGCTCTCTTCGGTGCGAAACAGCTGACCCTTTTCTTGCTTGAGTAGCTCCACCTCGTTCCGGTAGGCATCGAGTTGCCATCGGAGGCTGTCGTTCTCTTCCTTCAAGGCGTAAGCTTGAGCGGCTAAGGCTGAGGAAAGGAACAGACTCGGTAGTTAAGACAGAAGAACAAGATTCGACGGATGTTGTGCCGGGAAAAATAAAGGGACGGGAAGTTGCAGCTACTCCTGTCAAAGAAATGAAATCAATGCTGTCTTGAGTTGGCTTGTTGATTCTGTCTTCTTCTGCAGGATGAGAGCTGGCTATGAATTAACCAGGGAATGTCCAAGAGACCGACCAACCATTTGATAGAAACTTCTCTGTCTTTGGTGTTCTCTGAGCTTGGTTGTTTTCCTGTAGACATTTCATTACCCAAACTGAATCTCATCATCAGTGCTAATAAAGTGTATCTAGGTAGCACTGGTGATGTTACTTAGTTTGGTCGTGAAATGTCTGCAAGAAAACAACCAAGATCAGAGAACACCCAATACGCTACAATTCTTCTCCTTCTCTTCCTCCACTTTCTCCTCCTCCTCCTCCTCCTCCTCCTCCTCCTCCTCCTCTGCTCCTCAACCCTTCTAATACTGATGATGCTACCTAGTTTGGTCATGAAATGTCTGCAAGAAAACAACCAAGATCAGAGAACCCCCCAAGATTCCACATTCCTTCTCCTCCTCTTCCTCTTCTTCCTTGTCCTCCTCCTCCTCTACTCCTGAAATCCTCCTCCCTTTTAGTACTGATGGTGCTACCCAGTTTGGTCATGAAACGTCTGCAAGAAAACAATGTTAGAGAGCACCAAGGATCCTTCATTTCAATCCTGATCTATAAATATTCTCCTTTATTGGTACTTCTCTGTCTGGGAGATACCTCCCCGCAAGACACTCAAATAAAGCAGTTTTAACGCAGACTGTAAAACATGGCTGACACTTCTAAGAAAATATAATCTAATAATAACCATTGCTTGGATCCCAAGACCTGTTTCAAGCTTGCACACCAAGAAATGCACTGGTTGTTGCTATTTTTTGCATTACTTTTATTTCCCTTAAGCACTATGGTTTCAATAACTCAATTCTTCTGCCAAATCATGGCTTGCACGAACTATACTTTACAAGGAAGACCCTAACTATGGTTTGATGGGATGTTTGATTTTAACCGCACGTCACACAAACAGACCTGAACCAAATATGTTTTCTTCTTTTGCAGGAAAAGGAAGCTGACAATTAAAATTATTCAGGATGGTATTTATTTACAGTTTAGGAATAAATCTTAAGATCTGGATTTTTTTTTTTTTTAAAATAGTCTATTAAATTTCAATATAAAACATTAAAAGACAAACTAGTATAAAAGAAAAAAGGGAAATGGAATAGCAAAACATATGAAAGGGTGACAAAAACATTTGTTTGTTTGCTTAATTAATTAATTTGTATATTGCTCACCTCACTATCCAGAGTGACTGGAAAATACATCAAACAAATATATAACAAAAATGATTCCTGACTTTTTTCTAGCACAGTGTTAATAACGATACAACAACCTCTCACTATGTTTAACTGAAAAATACCAGTCTTTAAACTACCTTAAAATATGAATCCTTAAATTATCTTATAATACTAATTCCCCACATTCTAAAACCCCAATATTAATATTTTGGAATTGAAATGTTTACCGGTTATATTACACCCTTTTTAGAAGAGTTGATCTTGAACATTACTCAAGTTCAAGAAAAAAAAATTGGAGCTGTTGTGTTTAGGAGAATTGTCACTTGGAATCCAAACACAAAAACTTTAACAATAGTAACAACATAATAGAGTTGGAAGGGACCTTGGAGGTCTTCTAGTCCAACCCCTTGCTTTACCTTCCTGGTTCCTCAGCCCAAGAAATACCAAATATCTGAATCTGCAGAAAATGATGCTCCAATGACAGCAAAAATAAAAAGTGACAATGTGTCTTCCTGCTTGTTGAACACTGGAATATCCTGAACTTCTTTTCTTCCTGTAGTGAATTAATTTAAAATTATTTAGTATCCTTTTTCTGCCTCTGGTCTCATTTATCCAACCATTTTGGTCCATGGGGCCATACCAAATTTTGGTTTTCGATCTGCCTCCCCAGCCTTAAGTTGGCTCAATATTCTCCTTGAAAAACATGCATGACCTTGCAGCAAAATCTTTGCATGAGGAAAAAAGAAAACACTAAATATTTCAGATCACAGATTCTGTTCTTTTATGCCCTAAATGAAAGTCCTTTTTTTTTTTCTTAAAAGCATCTTATTCTGACCGGCCTTCAAAGAGATGGCTCGTTTTATCAGTTTTTAAAGTCTGAAGACCGGAATCTCCGTGGCAGAAATGTTTCTGAGTCACCAGCTAATTTTTCCTTTTTGTTCTTTTGCGGGAACTGAACGTTTTATCGCAAATGTTTATTCGAAAGCATTTATCTTATTTCTGAAGTGAAAGGGGTGATAAGAGATTGAGTCCCTCGAGGCTGAGGGAAACTTCAACCATCTTGTCTTCTTAGCAACTAAACACTAAAGGACTTTGCTTTTTTTTGTGTGTGGGGGGGTGGAATTCAACTTAGAGCAGCTGCCGATAGCGGTGGCTTTTCCTGGGGATGTTTTTTCATCCAAACATTAAACCTGATTTAATTTTTAAAATTTCAGCGATGAATATTGATCACTTGCTGTGACCAATTACTGAAGGCTCGGCCTGCACAATGAGCCACAAAGATTATTCCAGCAGCTTACCGTGTTTCTTTCTTTAAAAAAACAACAACAGCAAACCAGGGGTGAGATTGTTCTGGTTTGGACTGGTTCTATAGAACCGGTTGTTATTATTCTGTGCAGTTCAGAGAAACGGCAAATCATGCCTCTGGCTGGCTCCGCCCCTGTCCACTTGCCCCTCCCCTCCCCACCCAGTCAGTCCTTATCACCCATGCGCGACATTGCACGCATGTCCGACATTGCTGACTACATTCTCCCCCATATCTCCTTAAGACAGGGGTGTCCAACCTTGGCAACTTTAAGACTTGTGGAC